TAGTGATACTGCCTCGGAAACCCAAGGAGGGGTCGCTATGAGTCCAACCTGACAGTGGGTTTGCCCTTGACTGACTGTAGTGGTATAAATGGTGTTTTCCCAAGAGCCACACCTGCTCAGAACCTGGCAATGTGATCTTATTTGAGGAAAAAAAAAGTGTTTGCAGATGTAATTAACAGATGAGATCATCCTGAATTAATTTTTATTAGTTACCATGGAGCTGGATCCAACTCACAGCGACCCCAAGCATTTAGAGTAGAATGGTGCCATAGGGTTTCTAAGGCTGTGACCTTTTGGAAGCCAATAGCCAGCCTTGTCTTGCAAACACCTCTACTGGGTTCAAACCACCAACCTTTTGGCTCATAGTCAAGCAATTGACCTTGTGCTACCAGAGTCTCCTTCCTGCATTAGGAAGGAGAGTCTAAATCCAATGACAAGAGCTTAGGAGAGAAGAGAGGGGAGAAGACAAGATCTATCCAGAGAAGACCGTGTGAAGACGGCAGCAGAAGTGGAGATAAGCCAGGGACCACCTGGATCCACTGAGAGGCGGAAGAGGTAAAGGATTCTCCCTGAGAGCTTTCTGAGGGAGCATGGCCCTACCTCAACTTTGACTTTGCACTCTTGCCTCCAGAACTGTGAGAGGGTAATTGTCTGTTTTCTTAAGTCAGCAAGTTTGTGATTATTTGTGACCACAGTCCTAGGAAACCAATCCACTGTGTGTGGGTCCGGTCCCCGTGCCTCACCTGGCAGGAATCTCTCCCATACTTCTCGTCCGCAGCACACACCATGTTTTGGGTGATCTGGTTAGGGTAGGCGCGCTCGCACTCTGCACGAGACACCAGGTTGACGTGTGCGCACTGGATGGTATCAGGGAAATTTCCTGTAGAGAGAGATGGACCGGGCTCACCTCTGCTCTCCCTTCCCCATGTTTCCTCTGTGCCTCATGAGGTTTTTTCTGGGAGTTCTCTCCAACAGTCTTCCAACCCCTATAAATCCTCCTCTATCTCCCTTGTTCCCCATTTTCCCATGGATTCCCTCTTCCTACTAATCTCTCATTGTAGACCCCATTCGCATTGTCCCTGCCTCCAGACTGGCCTTGCTTCCTACCATTCTTCCCTCCTCTGTTGGCTTGTTTTCTTCATTCATCTTTCCTTCTCCACAAGCTCTCATGTGCTGTTGGTTTCTCCTTTCTATAGATCCTGTTTCCACTTTTCTCTCCTCCATTGGTCCTACCTTCTTCAATAGCTCCTATTGATCTGTAGGACTCTCTTTCTCCATCAGTCCTTCCTCATTGGTCCCTCCCTTCCATCAGGCCTTCCTCATCGGCCCCTCCCTTCCATCAGGCCTTCCTCATCGGCCCCTCCCTTCCATCAGGCCTTTCTCATTGGCCCCTCCCGTCCATCAGGCCTTCCTCATTGGCCCCTCATGTTCATTAGTCCTTCCTTCATTGGATCCCTCTTGCCCATTGGTTCTTTCCTAACTGGACTCTTTCTCCCCACATTGGCTTTCCCTTCCTATTGGCTCTTTATTCAATAATCCATGTCCCTCCTTGATCCTTCACTAATTGGCCCTTCCTTCTCCTATTGGCTTTTCTTTCCTATTGGCCCTCCATGCAGTGTTCCACCTCCCTTATTGGCCCTTCACTCACAAGTCCACCTCCTTCAATGAGTGGACTTGTTTCTTCCACTAGTCCTTCCTCTAGTGGTTCTCCTTGACCATTAATTCATTAGTGCTTCTCCCAACAGATCTTCCCTCCATCAGCACTCTCTACCCCGTTCACTCTCCCTGCATGCCTCAGTCAGTTGGCGATGCCTGCTTTGTTGGTCTGTCCTCCTCTATTAGTCCCTCTTCCATCCCTTCTCACCCATAAATATAACCTGATTCACCCCTTTTGACCGTTGGCCTCCTTCCTAGTTAGTCTCTCCCCTCTGATTTTCTCTTCTCATTGACCCTTCAATATGTGACCCATCACTACCATACCATTCACATATTGGTCTACTGTTTACTGCCCCGTTGGTTCATTAGTCCATGTTCATCCCTGTCCCTCACCCACTGGCCCAGCTCCCACAGGACTCCTCACCTTGGCTCATCTCCCCCATGGCCCTTCACCTTTGGTCTTTCTCCCTCTTACCCATCACCGATTGACCTTCCTCCCCCTTGGTCCTTCACCATTGTTGTTGTTGTTGTTATGTGCCATCGAGTCAGACCCGACTCATAGTGACTCTTCCTTGGGTTTCCGAGGCGGTATCACTACGGAAGTAGATTGCCCAACCTTCCTTCCGAGGAGTGGCTGGTGGGTTTGAACCGCCAGCCTTCTGGTTACCAGTCAAGTGCCT